TGGGCTCCAAAATCACTGCAGATGGTGATTGTAGCCATGAAATTAAAAGACGCTTACTCCTTGGAAGGAAAGTTATGACCAACCTAGATAACATATTAAAAAGCAGAGACATTACTTTGCCAACAAAGTTACGTCTAGTCAAGGCTATGCTTTTTCCAGTGGTCATGTATGGATGTGAGCGTTGAACTGTGAAGAAAGCTGAGCACCGAAAATTGATGATTTTGAAGTGTGGTGTTGGAGAAGACTCTTGAGAGTCCCTTGGACTGCAAGGAGATCAACCAGTCCATCCTAAAGGAGATAAGTCCTGGCTGTTCATTGGAAGGACTGATGTTGAAGCTGAAACTCCAATACTTTGGCCACCTGATGGGAAGAGTTGACTCATTGGAAAAGACCCTGATGTTGGGAGGGATTGGGGGCAGGAGGAGAAGGGGATCACAGAGGATGAGATGGCTGGATGGCATCACCGACTCGATGGACATGAGTTTGAGTAAATTCCGGGAGTTGGTGATGGACAGGGAGGCCTGGTGTGCTGCGATTCACGAGGTCGCAAAGAGCCGGACACGACTGAGCGACTGAAGTGAACTTAACTGATACGATGTTACGGAAAAACCAGGATGAACTTTTTGGCCAACCCAATATGAATGAGGTAAGTTTTTTGAAATATTCATTAAGTATTTATTAAATACTGTCTTTGTACCAGATAATTCTGCTAATTACCAGATATGAAAAGCTAGAAACAATATTTATTGTTGCCCTCAAAGAGGATTGTGTAGTGTAAATAGTACATATTCACAGTGCAGTGTGTTTAGTCTTATAAGCAGAAATAGGATGCCCTGGGGACAGCTAACTCAAATACTTTGTCCACTTGATGCAAAGAGTTGACTCATTTGAAAAGACCCTGATGCTGGGAAGATTGAGGGCAGGAGGAGAAGGGGATGACAGAGGATGAGATGGTTGGATGTCATCACTGACTCAATGGACGTGGGTTTGGGTGGACTCCGGGAGTTGGTGATGGACAGGGAGGCCTGGCATGCTGCAGTTCATGGGGTCGCAAAGAGTCAGACACGAGTAAGTGACTGAACTGAACTGAACTGAGTGAAGGAAGTAGAAAGTCTGATCCTGGATGATAAATGTCCTTTGCTTATGCAGGCAAGGGGATAAAGGACATCATAAACAGAGGATAGCTGGTGTAGAAGTCATGGGGTTATGAAAAGTAAGAAATTTGGAGATGCAGGTAGCTTGGTTTTGTGTAGCTTAATTATGGTATCAATAGAAACTACTTCCCTATAGCTCGGATGGTAAAGAATCTGCCTGTAATGCTGGAGACCTGGGTTCAATCGCTGGGTCAGGAAGATCTCCTGGAGAAGGAAATAGCAATCCACTCCAGTATTCTTGCCTGGAGAATTCCATATACAGAGGAGGCTGGTGGGCTACAGTCCATGGGGTCACAAAGAGTCGGACATGACTTAAGTGACTAACACATATACACATGGTACTAATAGCAAAACGAGCGGTTGGGCCTGAAATGAAGGTCAGTAGTTCACAGCAGTAATTGCTATATGTTAGGCAGAGAGTTTTGGAGAAGCCAATGGCACCCCACTCCAGTACTCTTGCCTGGATATTCCCATGGATGGAGGAGCCTGGTAGGCTGCGGTCTGTGGGGTCGCTAAGAGTCGGACACGACTGAGTGACTTCACTTTCACTTTTCACTTTCGTGCATTGGAGAAGGAAATGGCAACCCACTCCAGTGTTCTTGCCTGGAAAATCCCAGGGATGGAGGAGCCTGGTGGGCTGCCGTCTATGGGGTCGCAGAGTCGGACACGACTGAACTGACTTAGCAGCAGCAGCAGCAGCCAGAGAGTTTAGAAGACTGCTCCATACCATAGGTGATTCTTGAATCTGTGCTAGCTAGCACTTTACATATAATAAACTAGTTATTAAAATTAGTATTGAGTAAACCATGCTAAATTTCTGAAGCTTACTGTGCATTTCCAGATGATAGCATAGTCATATTATTTTGTGTTAATAATGCCATCTTCACAATTCATGAACCTGATCAGTTAACAAGTTGCCCTCATAATGCATTAGCTCTATAAAGTCGGTTTTACTGAGATGTAATTTACTTACAATACCAATTTTACACGTATAGTTCACTGAGTTTGACAAATGTATACAATCACATGTCCACCATTCCTCTAATAAATTCAGTTCCTTTCAGTCACAGTCATGTCTGACTTTTTGTGACCCCATGGACTGCAGCACATCAGGCCTCCCTGTCCATCACCAGTTCCTGGAGCTTGCTCAAACTCATGTCCATAGAGTTGGTGATGCCATCCAACCATCTCATCCTCTGTCGTCCCCTTCTCCTGCCTTCAACCTTTCCGAGCATTAGGGTCTTTTCTAAGGAGTCATTTCTTTGCATCAGTTGGTCAAATCTAATCATGATGTAGTGTATCTTCATTACCCTCCTTTAGCTTTTGGGTTTTTTTAAAAAATATTTTAAAATATTTATTTGGCTGTGCAGGATCTTAGATGCAACATGTGGGATCTAGTTCCCTGACCAGGGATCAAATCCAAGCCCCCCTACACTAAGAACACAGAGCCTTAACCACTGGACTACTAGGGAAGTCCCTCCATTAGCTTTTTTTAAAAAATCCTTCCCTTAGTGTTTAATTAGAATTTATTAAACTAAATAAAAAATAAACTCTTTGAACCCTGAGGAACATAATATCTGAATAATTTTTTAAAATCTACTTTTAAACTATGGGAATAATTTTTTCTGTAAAATAAAGAGATATTCTGTATAAGTACTGCTTTTAAGAGGTTTTATATCTTGAAATCTTCAGAAGGAGGAAGGAAGAAGCAAAGCAACTGTCTACTGAGTGAGTGGTGTAATGTTACATAAAGATGTTTGGAGGTGGAAGAAGAACAACTACCAAGAAAACAAAACCATAATTTTAAATACTGAGCTGGTAACTTCAGACTGGAGTTCTCACTAACAGCTTTGATACTAAATAGCAGAGTTGTAGAAGTCCAAGCTGTTAGTATACAGAATTTTGGAGTTTTGTGAGGTATGGATAGGAGTTATAGGTTGGGCACAGGAGATTTAGGAGTAAAGACTGGCTCAAATTTAAACTAGGGGAATAGTTGTACTTAGGTTTGATACTGGCATATAGGGGAGAAAGTGCAACCCTCCCACCCTCATTTATATAATATTTCCATATACTCAAATGACTTTTTTATTGGTTATTGCTGTAGCATTGGAGATTAGGACACTTTCAAGACGATTTTATGTGATTTTGCCTTTTCTGTTGTGATTCAATATGGATAGGAATAAGTTTCTCCAAGGGAATGAATATTGCTGTTAAACCAACAAAATTATTTTCTTACCCAGAAGTTATTATATTTAAGAATAAAATATGTGTTTAAAAATGAGAGGTATAGAGGTTTATGTTTAACCGATTATTTTATCCATGTTATTTGTTTGTTTTAACCAGTTACCCATGGGTGTATTGTTTCCACAATAAAACTTTTTCTACCCGATGGAATGGAAGCCCGGCTCCGCTCAGAGTGAGTATAATTTATGCTATGAAGTTTCTGTATTAATTACATTGATTAATAATATTCCAGATGATATTGTACAGTTAATACTTCAGAATTATTCTAATAATGTTAGAAAATTGATGTAGTGCTTTTGGAATATAATATACTTCTGTTTAATATAATTCAGTTTCACATTGGTTATAATTCTAGTAAATAATGTATAAGAGAGCACAGTTATTTTGTTTCCAAAATTAACTTTACAATGTATATTTTGATGAATTTTTAGACTATTTAGAGTATGCCAGTTATTAATGAATGATAATTGTATTCATTTTAATCTGCATGTCATATGACTTCTTAAACTATGGTTGCCTGTGAAGTTAATGCCAGTATCATAGTCTTACAGGACTTTGGGCATGTTGACACAGTAGTCTATATTGGTGGGAGTTTTTGGAGGGATTTTCCAATTCTGTATTTTTTTTTTCTTTTTTTAAATAAAGCAGTGGAAAGGTCACTTAGGGGAAGACAAACTTGAGAGGGAAATTTTGCTCACAAATACAGACGTTAAAAGATAAACATACATACATTTTGATCTTGTACTTTTCACAGATTATTGTTAAGTGTTAGAGGGACTTAAATAGTCTTTAGACTTAAGCATTTTTTAATTTTGAGGGGAAAACCTTGAATATGCTACAGGCTTATTTCTATCCCCAACAAAGTATTTTCTGTACTACAAAAGCAGAAATGAAATATCTAAGGGTGGGAGGTTGAGAGCAATAGCGATGTGAAGGTACAGTAGAGTGCTGAGTAGGAGAGAGAGGAGAAAGGAAGCAAAGAGAAGTCCTCCTGTTACTGTGATAGTGCTTTCATTAGGATTCTTGTATGTTATGCTTCAGTTAGAGACTACCATTTTTTTGTTTTTAACCTTTTAGGTATCTGAAGAAAACAAATTTTAAATTTAAAACATTAATCTGTTTCCTATTCTAAATTATAGTTTATTAAAATATAATTAACTTTGGGAGCATTTAATGTGACTTAGTTTTTAATATGACTTAGTCAAGAGTTAAGGTTTTAAAAAAAAGAGTAACTGTTAATTGACTAATAACTTCTTAAGAATGGCTTCTTAAAGACCTTGATGTTTGGATTTAATGAGATTTTTCTTTCATGGATTCAGAAGCTTTGAGCAGCTTTTTAAAGGGTCATCTTTGTTCTCAGGTTCCATCCAGTAGGGCATGTGAATTTTTTCAAAGTCTGTGCTAGTAAATTGTGTTCCTGATCCTCTTGTTTCCCCAGTGCTTTTCATCTTTGTTGCTGTTGCTTTGTCTTTGTTTGGTTTTTCTTATGTGGTTAAATGTTTGCATCATTTAAAATTTTACTACCAGTTTCATTGTACATAATCTAGCTGACTTTCTGAAGATGAATTTTTGAATAGACAATTCTCTAGAGTTGCAGGAAGGTCAGAATGGCCTTTAGAAGTAAACAGTCCGGTTCAAAGCCCAGCTCCACCTATTCTGTGACTTGATCAGGCCTCCTTTTTCTCATTTGAAAAATGAAGTTAATAATGGCACCTATTGAACAGAAATTTTCTGAGGAGGAATAAGCAAGATTGTACACTTAAAGCATTTGGTGTAATAACTGATTCAGAATGAGCACACAATGAATAGTGTTTCTGTTATTGTAATCTAGTATTTTTTTAGCAATCAAGATGCTTTTAAGTACGCCAGATTGTTTGGAGTTTAAGATACATTATGTACATAGCATGTAATATTTTTTTCAGGTTTTTCAGTGGATATATTATTTTCGAAAAGCTGATTCTTTTTTCTTCTTTGACTTTTATTATATTTCACAAATAATTTTCCAATAATAAGAATCAGAGAAATTGCCTATAATCCCACCACCTTGACACTAAATAATAAGTTTTTCTTTTCTACAATTCCTTGTTGCATATCAACTTTTTCCATAATTCAAACGAAATACATCTGTCCACAATAGTTTTTGTCGAGTACAAAATATATCTTATGGAATGTTTTGCTAGATTTTTAGAATTCTGTTTATTAACGAGATTTTCATGAGAACAGAAAATATTGTTCTTGGGTCACTAAGAAAACTGTATTTTAAAAAAAAACCCTCCATTAATACCATTTGCATCTATTTAGACTTTAAAGTTCATTTCCTTACATGTGTGTATCTACAGAGAAAAGGATACATACCCAAAATAGCTATATCCAGGTACTGGCATTGGGTTCAGTTTAGTTCAGTCGCTCAGTCGTGTCCAACTCCTTGCGACCCCATGAACTGCAGCACACCAGGCTTCCCTGTCCATCACAAACTCCTGGAGCCTGCCCAAACTCATGTCCATTGAGTCGGTGATGCCATCCAACCATCTCATCCTCTGTCATCCCCTTCTCTTCCTGCCCTCAATCTTTCCCAGTATCAGGGTCTTTTCCAGTGAGTCAGCTCTTCGCATCAGGTGGCCAAAGTATTGGAGTTTCAGCTTCAACATCAGTCCTTACAATAACACCCAGAACTGATCTCCTTTAGGATGGACTGGTTGGATCTCCTTGCAGTCCAAGGGACTCTCAAGAGTCTTCTCCAAAACCACAGTTCAAAAGCATCAATTCTTCAGCGCTCAGCTTTCTTTATAGTCCAACTCTCACATCCACATATGATACTGGAAAAACCATAGCCTTGACTAGACGGAACTTTGTTGGCAAAGTAATGTCTCTGCTTTTTAATATGCTGTCTAGGTTGGTCATAACTTTTGTCTAGGTTGGTCATAAGCGTCTTTTAATTGCATGGCTGCAATCACCATCTGCAGTGATTTTGGAGCCACCCAAAATAAAGTCAGCCACTCTTTCCACTGTTTCCCCATCTATTTGCCATGAAGTGATGGGACCAGGTGGGACCAGATGCCATGGTCTTAGTTTTCTGAATGTTGAGTCTTAAGCCAACTTTTTCACTCTCATCTTTCACTTTCATCAAGAGGCTCTTTAGTTCTTCTTCACTTTCTGCCATAAGGGTGGTGTCATCTGCATATCTGAGGTTATTGATATTTCTCCCCACAATCTTGATTCCAGCTTGTGCTTCTTCCAGCCCAGCATTTCTCATGATGTACTCTGCATATAAATTAAATAAGCAGGGTGACAATATACAGCCTTGACATACCCTTTTCCTATTTGGAACCAGTCTGTTGTACCATTTCCAGTTCTAACTGTTGCTTCCTGACCTGCATACAGATTTCTCAAGAGGCAGGTCAGAGGCAGGTGGTGTGGTATTCCTATCTCTTGAAGAATTTTCCACAGTTTGTTAGGATTCACATAGTCAAAGACTTTGGCATAGTCAATAAAGCAGAAATAGATGTTTTTCTGGAACTCTCTTGCTTTTTCGGACGAGATCGGGCACGTTCAGGGTGGTATGGCCGTAGACCTCTCTTGCTTTTTCGATGATCCAGCAGATGCTGGCAATTTGATCTCTGGATCCTCTGCCTTTTCTAAATCCAGCTTGAACATCTGGAAGTTCACAGTTCATGTATTGCTGAAGCCTGGCTTGGAGAATTTTGAGCATTACTTTGCTAGTGTGTAAGATGAGTGCAATTGTGAGGTAGTTTGAGCATTTTTGACAGTTCCTTTCTTTGGGATTGGAATGAAAACTGATCTTTTCCAGTCCTGTGGGCACTGCTGAGTTTTCCAAATTTGCTGGCATATTGAGTGCATCACTTTCACAGCATCGTCTTTTAGGATTTGAAATAGCTCAACTGGAATTCCATCACCTCCACTAGCTTTGTTCGTAGTGATGCTTTCTAAGGCCGACTTGACTTCACATTGCAGGATGTCTGGCTCTAGGTGAGTGATCACACCATTGTGATTATCTGGGTCATGAAGATCTTTTTTGTATAATTCTTCTGGGTATTCTTGCCACCTCTTCTTAATACATGTTGGCATTTACTCTTGCCGTCTCCTGTTTGACCACTTCCAATTTGTCTTGTTTCATGGACCTAACATTCCAGGTTCCTATGCAGAATTGCTCTTTACAGCATTGGACTTTACTTCCATCACCAGTCACATTCACAGCTGGGTGTTGTTTTTGCTTTGGCTCCATCTCTTCTTTCTTTCTGGAGTTATTTCTCCACTGATCTCCAGTAGAATATTGGGCACCTACCAACCTGGGAAGTTCATCTTTCAGTGTCTTGTCTTTTTGCCTTCTCATACTGTTCATGGGGTTCTCAAGGCAAGAATACTGAAGTGGTTTACCATTCCTTTCTCCAGTGGACCATGTTTTGTCAGAACTCTCCACCATGATCCGTCTGTCTTGGTGGCCCTGCCCAGCATGGCTCATGGTTTCATTTAGTTAACAAGGCTGTGGTCCATGTGATCAGATTGGTTAGTTTTCTGTGATTGTGATTTTCATTCTGTCTGCCCTCTGATGGAGAAGGATAAGAGGCTTATGGAAACTTCCTGATGGGAGAGACTGACTGAAGGGGAAATGCTGCTATATACACTCAGTAATATAAGTGTTAGAACAAAAAAATTCTTGTCTGGTTGCTTTAAATACTTGCTTTTTTCAGATTGAAAAGAAAACTAACATTTCTATACATTTGTTTATCTAGTTGACATAAGAACCTTTGCAAAAACAGGGTTGGCTGGACTAAACTGTCAGCTTTGTCAGACATGATCTTTAACTGCTTTCAATAGTGCACCAACCTTGTACTGCCCAGACAGTATTAGCCCTTGGTTCACCTAACAAAATTTGTACATTGTTTCAGTTTCTGGGCTTCATTAAAATATGTTTGAGCGAAAGAAATCCTTAGGTAACTCTTTGCACCTTAAAAAACAAAAAACAAATTTATTGTCAATTTAAATACATTGGTAAAGTGCCAGTATTTCTGGGTCTTCTTGTTTTGTGCTCCTCTGTTGTAGGCTGTTTATAATAAATCTCTGGGGGAGTCAACAAGCTGGGATAAATTCATTCCTTCCCTGTCTGCTGCCAAGAAAAGGAGGCAGTTAGGTGCTTTCTGCAAGTGGAAATGA